TGTGAATTGGTTTTTTTTTTTTTGACCTAGATAGCCAGGCCACATCCCATGTCAATAAGTAGCTAAAAGCTCAGAAGTGTGCTATGGACAGGTTCTGTGTAATTGGATGTGTGTTTTTACCTGTTCTTGCAAAGACACCTAAAGAAACAGCACAGGTCTGAGCCAGTCTGGATCTGGCCACACACACTCTCTAAGTGACCCCCAGTTGGTTATCAACTTCTTGATGTGCAACGTGTGCTCAATAGTCACTCTAAAAATTTCATAATGTACTCCATGTATTATTTGGGAGTGTGTTTATTTTGTGAACATATTATTTTTTCAACCTTTATTGTTGATTTCTAATTTAGTTGCATTATTGTTAAGAGAACTTTAGTGTGTGATAAAGTTTGAGAACTCTTATGAATCCTTGTGTTGCCATAAGATTTTGGAAAGACTGTATAATTTTAAAATATGCTGTATTTGTTTTTATAAATGTTGAGTTTTGTGCATTGAAAGTGACCTTTGAAAGTATTTCTATTTATTGGATGCAGAGTTGTCTTACTTAATTTTAATTTTAAATGCTCACTTAATTTGTAAATAATTCAAATTTCATTTTGTTCTTTAAATCTTTGCTTTTGTCTGCCCATCCATCAGTTTTCCATGTGGACCTCTTAAAATCTCCTATTATTTTTCTTAGTTATTCTATTGAATTTTACTTATTTTGAGCAAAAATAAGATAGTTCTTATTTCTTAGTCTTGAATTAAATATTATGAATCTTAACTTCATACTGCTGTGTTATCCTTGAGAACCAAAACTTCATACATTTGCTTCAGAGTGAGCTGAGTCGCATGGCAGTTTATGAAGAGAATATGAAAGATGAGTTGGTCGTGTGTCTGTTTCATTCTCTCCTGGTAGAAAACAGAAGATTAAAAAATTCAAAATTTTCCATTTGACTTAAATTTTGAGCTTTTAAAATTAAGGTTTTCCAGAACATATCCCAAGCTAGCATGGAGAATGAAAACTATATTCCAGTACAGTTCTTCTCAAAATTCAACATTCCTGAAAAGGAGCTTACATGGACTTCTTAACCCACCGTCAGGGATGCAAGCAAAGGCTGGGCTATGAGTGGCACTGAAAGAGCTGCCAAGCATGCAGCTGGGCGTTACTAGAAAGCTGAGATGGCTCCAAGACAGGGCTGTTCTGGTGCTCAGAATGAGGCATCTAAGCCGCAACTGAAATATGTCCAGAATGGCAGATGCTAGAAGGAAATAAGAGAAGGGAGTTTTTAAAAATGTCTCAAAAATCCACCCAGTTACCACTACCCTTCAAGAAAGGATTCTTAAGTATAAGCGTTTGGGTCTTCAGCACAAAGCATTAGCCAGGAGAGATGCCCCCAGTGTCCCTCCCCTCATCTCTGCTGGTCCAAATGGTGGACTTTGGAGGTTCTCATTCACCACCCAGGATCTCGGGCCTAAGGTGTGTGAGGAGGAGGAGATTTGGAGGAGCTGGACACCATGTGGGGTGGATGTGAGCACATAGTGCCTCATTGGTTGGTTTGGGTATTTGTTTTCTAGCAATCATACTGATTTTGCTTCACTAAAATCACTTTTCTTCAAACATACATATGTAGGTAATCTGTTTTTAAGTTTCTGACTCAGTATATCAGCAGGTCAGTTTGAAGAAACAAGGTCCCCCTGCAATCTTTTTCCTGAACTCTACTTCTGAAGTGAATAGAAGCTCTGCAAAGCTGCAGATATGAGTGGAATTTTCTGCTCACAAAATTTCTCTCAAGTATTGGGATAATAAAGCTATCAACATCTGCATCTTTTATCATTTATTGAGTTGGTCAGCCTTCCATAATATAGCAAATGCTTGAGATCATCAACTTATAAAAAGAAAATGGTTATTTTAACTCACAGTTTTGGAGATTCCACTGGCTTTTTTCTGGGGCAGGGGGTGAGGGGGAAGGTGACTCAGTGTGTGATCAGCTCAGGGCCAGGAAGCAAAAAGAGGCAGACGAAGGGGCCGGGTCCCCATGACCTGTTCAATGGCACATCCCCTCCAATGATCTAAGCATCTCCTACTAGACCCCACCACCTCCCAGTTGGACCAAGCTGAGGACCAGGCCACTAAAACCCACATGTTCTCACCCGTACACATGCACACTGTGGGGACATTTTAGATGCAAACTATAGCAGACTATTTGAATGAAGTAACCAGCAATGTAGTAATATCACTAATATAAATAATAATAATAGTAATAAATAAGGCCCCACCCTGGAACAAGGTGAAAGAGATACCCTGTATTATTATAGGTGTGTACAGATGCCCAGAGTGTTGATGCATTTTTCAACCTGAGGAAGAATTGTGCCAGTTGTGAACATGTAATGGGGGTAAAGCCATTTTGAATGGAAGCATGTTTCATTGCTCAATAATTTTGGCATCTGTTTTAGCTGTTGTGTTGATTTTCATAGCCACCCTTGGACCATGAATATGAGGAAGTTTATATGAGCTGATAGATTTTTCTGATATTATATTTCTCTCTGTAAGCCCTGATGAAATGTATAATTTCTTAGAACTACAATTTATCAAAATTGAGACACTGAACATGGTGGCCCAAGCCTGTAATCCTAGCTTCATGGGAGGTGGAGATTGGGAGGATCATGGGTCAAGGCCATCCCAGGAGAAAAAGTTCATGAGACCCCCCTCCTCAAAACCAATGGCTGGGCAAGTGGTACGCACCTGTCATCCCAGCTATGCAGGGATGCCAGGCCAGCCCAGGCATAGAGCAAGACCCATTTCAAAAGTAACTAATGCAAAAAGGGCTGGCGGAGTGACTCAAATTGCACCTTCCTAGAAAGAGTGAGACCCTGAAAAAATCATACAAGTAGAGACAGAAAGTTTAAACCAACCAATTTTCATAGAAGGAATAGAGAGAGTTGTTTGGAAATAACAAAAAAGCATAGGGGACATCAGGCCAAAATGATTATATAGGGAATTTTACTGAACTTTTCCTTTTTGGAGCTGAGGATTGAACTCAAGGGCTTGCACAAGGAAGCCAAAGTTTTAAAAACCAAATAGTAATAGTCACAATATTTCTGAATTGTTTCACATCGTAGCAAATACTGAAAATTTCCAAATTCTTTTGATGATGTAAATATAGCATCCTGATACCGATCACACACACACACACACACACACACACACACACACACACATCATTTATGATGAGCAGCACAAAGGTCCTAACTGCAATATTAAAAGTAGATTTCCAACCCACAGTGGAAAAAAAAAAAAGAGTATTCCATGACTTGGTATATACAGCATAAGTATAAAAGCCCTGTTAGGTTTCTATTAGGAAACCTGTTATTAAACTGTACAATACTAACAGCTCTAAGTAGAAAAATCATATGATTATTTCCACAGAAGCTTAAAAAGCCATTGAGAAAATTCAACACAATTTCCATCAAAACACTAAAGAAATTTGCAATGAACAGGTGGGTACTCCCTTAACAGGTCAGAAAAACATTCTTATTTATACACTGCTGTGGGGATACAAAATGATATGCAGGTTCATGCCTGTAATCCCAGGACTCAGAAAGCAGAAATGAGAGGCTGGCCCAGGCAAAATCTCAAAAGACTACATGAAAAATAAAGCGAAAAGAAGCTGGGTTGTGTGACTGCTAGGCAAGCACTGGGTCCCTGCATTCTCCCAGGACTGCAAACAACAAAACTATATAGCCTTTAAATCACTGAGATAACACTGATTGACAACCTGAAGAGCTAAAATTAAAGCCTGAACCATACTAAGCAGTGGAGAAGATATGGAGAGAGTGGACTTTCCCACTCTGCTGGTGGGAACAAATAGTACAGCCACATTGGAACAAGCAGCTCAACACTTTCTTAAACACACAGATGGCTCCTACTTCCCACCCATTCCACTGCTAGTTGTTCAAGAGAAATGGTAGCATCTGTCCAACCAAAGACTTGGGCAGGAAATACCTATGGCATATTTATTTGTTGAGAGTCCCAAGTTGGAATCAATCCAAATGTCCAATAAGAGGTAGATATGTAAACTACTCAGCAATAAAAAGGAGCAACTATGGATAGAACACATGGATGGATCTCAAAATAATTATGCTGGCTGAAAGAAGCCAGACAAAAAATAGTATATGCTGCTGATAGTTCTATTTTTATAAAATTCTACAAAATGCAACCTAGTCAAAAGTTGCTGGCAAGGTAACTTTTGGAGATATGTTATTTGTTGGGTTTTGGGGTGCAGGCATATGCCAAAAGTCATCAGATTGCATGTCAAACCTACTTCAATAAATCTGAAAGAAAAATGATGGCATCATGATATAAGGGCAGGGGAACTAACTTGAAGTGACCTCCTCTGATCAAATGTGGGATAGTCTGGGCACCATAAGTAAGTACAGTCATGGATTAGAACTCATTGAATAAAATAAACTATCATTCTATACTTATAGATAGGATGGATGAATGGATAAGAAAAAGGTCTTTAGTAGAATATTTAAGATGCCTAACAAATATAGAAGGAAGATGAAATTTAAAAATCATTTAAAAAATATTGCAATGATGGTAAAATTAATTCAGGTGAAAATAACTGATGGATCCTAATTCCAGGGTAGAGGGAAAGGGCAAGTAAAGTTTGATGAACAAGGCATTTACAGTCTCAAAGTGTCTACACCCGCATTGCTTAATTACAAATAAAATTGGAACTACACAGGAGGAAAGCAGGGTACATCTTCAACAAGTGTGCAAACTTAACACCAATGAGGAGCAAGTGGACATCAGGTGCGCTGGGTAAATTATTAATAACTGCCGGCCAGAGAAAGAACACGTTTCAGATATGATGCATTTATGCTAACATTTATTATAAATACATGAAGACGAGGAAGACTGCCTGCTGACCTGTCTAGAAGAAACCTAGAGCATTAATTTTGCACCTGTAAGGACACCGTGATTGAATAAAATCTAGGCCTCAGTTAGGGTGCTACAGGTGCAAGCGCGCTGTTCGCCGAGGAGGCGCTGGGCGACAGGAGGGACAGGCTGGGACACCGCAGGGACAACTCCTGGGTGAGCCGGGGGGCGCCGGGCGCGCGCAGCGGGGACGCGCGTCACGGCGGGCAGCGCCGTCCGCGGCCGTTGAGCCCCGGGGTGCCGAGCGGTGCGCGCCGCGCGCCCGGGCCGCGCCCCCTCCCCTCCCGCGCCGCACGCGCACGCGCAGTTAGCAGTCGCTGCTGGGCGGCCGCCGGCGGGATTGGTCTGGGGAGACGGCGGGGACCAAGTGGCAGCGAGTCGTACACCTGAGCTGTCACTGCCGCACACGGGCCCGCAAGACAGGTGTGTGGACGGCGGGCCACCTGCCTTCCCGCTGCCTCTGCGCTTGGGCGGGGGTGAGGAATCCGAGGCCTTGCTGCTTCCCCCAGGGTGGGGTTCCCCGGCCGCACCCCTTCCTTCTGCGACTCCGAAGGCTGAACAGGTTGGGGCCAGGTGAGGGGCGGATGTTGAGTTCGAGGAAGGGTGCGCAGCGAGCGAGGCCCCGGGGTGGACTCTGCTGGCCTCGTGGGTACCAAGGCCAGCCTAGGGCGGAGGGAGTGGGTGGCACTTCCAAGGGTCCTGGGGACTGCGAAGTCCACCTGCTGCGCTGGGACTGGGGCTGGGGCCGGAGCTGGGAAGGCCAGGTGTCCTGCCCAGCCCGCAGGTGCCCGGCGGCCAGAGGGTCCGTTACCCCAGCGGTTGCCATTTCAGTCCCGTTCCACGCTCGAGCCCCGGGGCGCGCTCCCTAGGGGTGTGGGGGGCCCGGCGCGTCCTGGCGCTGCGGGCTCCCCTGTCCCCACCCTCCCACGAAAACGCAAACCCAAACAAAATAGGCCCTCCCTGTGCAGCCCCACCTCTGTGGACCCAGCCTCACAGCAGCTACAGTGACTACTGGCCACTCCCTGGATACGCTGCGCGGAGCCCAGTGTGCGCCCCCGGGGACGCAGCGAAAGGGTTGTGTTGAAGCCAGCGAAGCCCTAATTGCTCCAGACACATTATCTCTTAAAGCCTGTTTACTATCAATCGGATTCTTTAGTTGAATTTATTTATAGCATCTGCCCAAGCAACGGGGAGGAGGCGTTTGCTTGGGATTTAAAAGCAAGAGGCAACAAACCCCAGGAGCTGGAGAGAGATGTGAATTACACCTCCCCACTGAGGAGTCTCGGATTTAGAAGAGGGTTAATTTATTTTGAAACTTTTGATGCATAAAAGCCCACAAAACTGCACTCGACTATTACGGTTTTGCTTGCTTTGAACTTTTGGTGTCACCCTAGATTGCCCTCTTTTTTGGTAATTGTAATTTTTACGTCTTTTCAGTTTACACTTTTGTTTTCTTGTCTTGTTGGTTTGGTCTTCCAATCACATTTAGACCTTCTCCCAAATTCTTAGAACAGGATTTTCTGTATGCTTTGTCTCGTTAATTTAGTAATATGGTTAACTGCTATTTGTAAATGAAGTATGCCAATAGACCAGAGCTGTAAATTAGCTTTACTACTTGTTTTTGGTATCTAATAATCCTAGTGGTCTTAATTAGAACACTAGAATTGTCAACTTTGATGGACTGACTGGTAGATCAGCCCTTTCACTTCACACATGAAAAACGAGACCCAGAATAGTTTAATCGCTTGCCTTTTTAATCACAGAACCAGCAACTTGGTGCAATGGCCGTCAAGTTCAGGGTGCTGTCTGTTGTCACATTCTACCGGTGGGTTTCTGAGGCCACATGACAGCCAAAACTTCAAAAAATAATAAAAAAATAATTAATTTTTGGACACCCCTCCAGAGGCTTGCCAAGGATGCTGTAGTCCTGAGACAGCCATCAGGAACTGAATAAAGGCAGAAGGACATCTCACCTATAAGAAATCACACATGCAGGAGTGTGTGATAAATAGATGAGGGCAGGAAGTGAAAGAAATGGGTCTTAGAAGAGGCAGTTGATGCTGAGAATCATTGAAAATTTTCATAATTGGGATATGAATGAAGACTTTTTAGAAATAGCATGCTTACAAGAAGGAAGAGGGAAATTAAGACCCAAAGTGGCAAATTATTAATACTTTTCAGAAGGGATGGGTTCCTAACTGAATGTTGTAGGATGAAGATGGAGATATTCCAGAAATACCCAAGTGAATTTAGATACCCATGATGTAGGGGAATAGTAAGAGGATGCTCTTAGGGAGATGGCAACTGATGAGGTGCAGGTAGTAGGAGAGAGGAATTAGAGAAAAGAACAAGTAAGTTCACAGTAATGGCGGTGCTGGAGCATCTTTGAAGATGAATAGTTCTTTGAAACAAAAAAATGACCTCTGAGCTGTGAATGAGGTTTGAGAATCCTTAGCTCTCATAGGGACAAGCCAAGAGTGCATGTAAGGAGAGCCTGAGAGCAGACACCTGAGGAGCAGCAACGTTTTCAGAAGACTAGGGAAGGGGCCCTTGAAGGAGACCTAGAAGGAAAGAACCTGGAAGGTGCCACAGACACCAAGGGAGAAGGCTCAAGGACTAAGGAGGCAGCGGGGTCAGAAGGGGTGACACCAAAGAAGATTTGAAAGGTGCTACTGCACTTGCCAGCTGATGCTTGGTTAGTGGAAGTGTCACAGATGAGTTTCAAAGAAGCAATAAATAAGAAGTACAGGAAGAATATCAGTTTTTCACTGCTACCATAACAAATTCCTGCAGCCTTAGCAGCTTAAAGGAACACAATTTTATTCTTTCACAGTGCTGTAAGTCAGAAGTCTGACACAAGTCTCACCCCACCAACAGCTAGGTGTCTACAGGGCAGCCCTCCTTACTAGAGATCCTGGGAGGATCCACTTCCTTGCTTACTCAGTTCCATATGGTTGTAGGAATGGGGTCCTTATTTCCCTACTGAAGGAAGTTTCCAGTTTCTCAAGGCCATACACATCCCTTGGCTCTTGGTCCCTCTCTGCCATGTTCAAGACCCTCAATAGTGGGTAGACTCCCTCTCACTCTTGAAATTTCTCTTCCCTATCTCTCTCTGACTCCTTTCCCACTTTTAAGGACCCTATAATAGTACTGGGTCCACCAGGATAATCCAGGCCTTTCTCCCTATTTTAAGGTGAGCTAATTAGCAACCTTAATTCCATTTGCTGTGTGAGGTAACAGTTGCAGGGTCCAAATATGCATGGCTGTGGGGAACAATTCAGCCCATTAAAGGAAGGTAGAAGTACTGTCAGTGGAGACAGTCCTTCTGGAAACTTTGCCGTTAAGGAAAGAGACACCTAGAAGCATTTATATTATCTAGCAGGTGATCTTTAGTTCCAACGGTAAACTTTACTGTCTAACCTTGAGCTTTTTAGCTAAGAAATGAAACTCTCTGCTTAATTATCCTAAAATTTGTGTGAGCACCCTTTATAAAATTTTAGAGTGTTAATGCCAATACAAACATAAGGAAATATGATGAAGTTGTTATTTTTTGTAATTTTATGTATCTTTTAAGCTGCTTTCAAAATCTTTGCTGGAAAAAGGCCATGACACCAACTAACTAAGTAAATGCACATAAAATATAATTTGAATAAACCTCAAAGTGTGACTTTAAAATAATAAAACCCAAAGTAATTGGAGTGTATGTCTAAATGACTGAACACAGAAAATATTCACCTTGCCCATATTTTATAGACCTGGAACCTTAATGACATTTAATGAGGATTAAATAATTTAATCTTCTCACCTCAGCATCTTAGTGGAAGGACTGTCGAGCCTGAAGTTGAACCTGACTTGGAGTCTTATCTTCTGTTCGGTAACCTTGTGTAGCCTTGGCTCCATGACTTATCTCCCTGACCCTCCCTTTCCTTATGTGTAAGATGGAATACTAAAACCTTCATCTTAAGATGCCGTAATGACTGGAATTCACATTGAAACAGTATGCATTCAAAACCAGCACTTCTTATTCTTCTCGCTCTGTTCATGCCTTTCAGCGCCTTTATCGCACAGTACTGCCTTTGTCCTTGGCCTATGGAAATCAGCCCTTTTTGTCCTTTGCATCTTTAAATATTACTTTCTCAGAGTGACCCCTCCCCCACCATGTAAATTCCCGATTACCTACAATCACACCTTTGTTTACATAGTGTGCTTGGGTTACTTCCATTCTGCACTACACACTCTTTCAGACTCAGGACCATGTACATTTTGCTAATTACTATAATGGTAGTAATGCCTGGCAGAGAATTGACAATCATGTAAGTATTTGTTGAATGAGTGAGTGGATGGTAAGTTTTTCTCCCTCCTGGCTGGTGACCTCTGAATTTCCCAGGTGAAATATTAGCCATCAGGAATTAAATAAATTCCTAGTGCTAGTTGTTTCTGTGAAACGAGCTACATTTCAAAGCAAGTCTTTCAGCATCTTAGGAAGAGGCTGCCTTTCTAAGATGCCACCATCCTACACCTCTCCATCTCATGTGTGATCCTTCAGGGAATTTTTTGTATGCTACATGGTCAAGTAATTCCAAGAACATCCTCTAACTGTGATAAAAATGTGTCCAGTATTATTTGCATATGTGACAACAAATCCATTTAAATCTAGTTTTTCAATTTATAGTTTTTTCTACTAAATTACAATTATAATTATCAATATATAGGCTGTCTATAGCAGAACTCTGAAAAAACTGACATTGAATGTTTCTTCATAGATGCAGAGTTCAATTTAAATAGGATTAACTCATCTGTATTAAATTAGGTCATAAAACTGCAAGTCTGGACCATTATCTTCTTTCTCTATAGAAATGCTTTCACTCTTAAGGTTTCATAATATACCAGTGTGAGAAGCATTGCCATAACTATTTTTCAAGGGGTGAGCAAGGGGTACATTTCAGTTTTTTGTAGGAGTTTTTTTTTTTTTTTTTGTAGAAAATGATACCCTATCCCAAGGATTCTAAAGGGTTTTGTAGACTCGTTTAACTTCTCATCTCCCCCTAATTGCCTAGGAACCCCTGTGCTAAATATTCTGCTTTGCAGTGCCACCAAACTCATCCTGATTGGTTACTTGATAGTATTCCTTTCCCTCCTTTGACCTTCTTCCTTTCTGTCATGCACTCTATAAATTTCATCTACTCCTGGTTATCATACACCAGCATGCTTTGCAGCACTGTGGATACAGAAATGAGAGACAGTATTCTAGTTCTGTTGAGCTTAGATATTTGTCTGTTTTGCAAGTTGTCTAATTCTACTTTTTTGGACTATGTAGAGATTGTATAAATCCTAAAAAATAAGTAAATGTATCATTATAATGTTTATGTAAACATATTAGTTTGAAAATGATGCTACTTAGTGTTTGATTTTAATTTTAGTGT